GATAGGAAAAACAACTGTTTTTTAAAAATATTTTTTTTATTGACTTCAGAGAGGAAGAGAGAGGGAGAGAGAGACAGAAACCTCAGTGATGAGAGAGAATCATTGATCAGCTGCCTCCTGCACACCCCACATTAAGGATGATCCCGCAACCCGGGCGTGTGCCCCAACCAGGAATGGAACCGTGACCTCCTGGTCTATGCTCAACGACTGAGCCAGGCTGACCAGACAATAACTTTCTAATTCCTCTTATCAATTGGACCTCTTATCCATTTCATTTCTTCCCTTCTAAGTCCTCTCATAAATATGGAAAAATAGTCTTTAATAGGAATCATGGCATGTTTTTGTACCCCCCTAACTAATATTAAGAACTATATATAGATAAACAGATTTCATTTCACCTTTCACACCTATAAGTTCTTACATCATAATATTTATAAACATGTATACTTGGTTAATATAGTTTTTAATTAGAAAAACAGACAAAAAATATTTTAAGCAAGCATATTTCAAAGATTTTCTACCTTAAGAAACTTGGAGTATGTCTGCCATCTGCTAGTTTATTGTTTATGCCATTTAAATAATATATTACCTAATGCTAGTAATCTTGAAATAAAGCATACTTCAAGAGGAAGGCTTGCCTCTAGGCTTTTCACTTATTGTGACTCTCTGCTTAGGAATGAAGCTGTACTTTCTGTGCTTTCAATAATCGACAATTTACTATGGGTAGAAGCTCTGTGGTATAGAGCTAGTTTTGTTTTAGCTTATGTGCTTTAGTGAATGATTCCATTTGCTGCAAAAGAAAAATCTGGATCTGCTGGGTTTCTGCCCATTCTAGCTGCCTGTTCTAGAAGAAAGATGTACCATTACCGGATTCCTTCTCACTGTTTTCACCTTCCAGTATATCCTTCACTCACTTCGACAAACCCAGCGGATATTAAATTGTCATGTTCTCTGCTTCCTTCCCCAAAATCCCCTCACTATTGAAAACATTCAATCCAGTCTTCTATGTGTCCTTAGGCTTGATCAAGATCCACTAAAAAAAATTTTACAACTTTAAGGAAAACTGTATTTCTATTGAGGTAGAGGGGAAACATTGCATTTAACAATGCAATGTTTCAAATTAACATATTATACAAATGTATTAAATAAACTATATTTTAGTAAGTTTCTAGAACAGATTATTCTGAAATTATTTATTAAACACTTTTGAGAAAGCTTTGAGACCTATACATGCTACATAGGTAAAGTTACAGCAAAAGTAAAAAAAAAACTGAAATTGAAGTGTTCTGGGAAGTTAGATACAATTCCAGGCTTATACTTCAATAGATATCAGACACAGTTCATATATTTATTCTAAAAAAAATTGTTAAAATTTGAGGATAATTATTAAGGTTACTTTCTCCCTGCTCAAATATATTTTAAAATACAGATGTAATTTCAACAAAGCTAAATTCACCTCCTCTCCTATCAGGGACCTATGGGACATTTATCTAGGAGCCACAAAGAAATATTCATTCCCCGTTTGCTTGGAAAATCCCCAGAGAAACCACTAAGTGTTGTTAAGTAAGGTTCCCAACCAGTACTGTGCACTTTTTCTGAGCAACATCATCATGAGTGGAAATTTTAAAACATCTGGCCTCAGGGTGAATTTGGGTAACAAAAGAAAATATATAAGATGCACAGAAAATGTGCAACTAAATAGGAGGAATTTGAGTCAGAGGGTAGTTGGTCAAGGAAAACTTGTATTATGTCACTCTTTAGACTTCTGAAAACAAAGAGCATGGCAAACTGCCTTAAAAAGGGAGAAGAAGAAGAAGGGAGAAATGTTAAATGCAGTTTAGGTAGTGGAGGAAGGAGACTCCATGATGCTGATGTGACCAGGAGAAGGGGATAACGTTACAGGCAAGTACATTTCCAACCCATAATAGAAACACTTCTTTGCTCTTGATAGATAGAAAACTCTTTCTTTGGAAAAGACTATGACAATGAATTAGATTAAGAGTTTGGAGGAATCCCAGTGACCATGTAGTCCAACTTCTTATATCATGCATGACACATGTTATCTTCCTTTGCTGCATACAACTGATGGTATTTTTATATTCCTGGGCATTTCTATCTGCATGAATCAACAACATTCCTTGAACCCAAATCTACATTTCTATAACTTCTCCTATTCACCAGATGTACTCCCTTAGCATGTGCAAAATAATAGAAGAGGCAGTTATTTGCATCTAATGTGTGTACTCATCCCAATTATAAATATCTTCAACTTCATTCTTTTAATCTTTAAAGTTTAAGATTTTAGATATCTTGTAACTATGCTTGCCTTCCTCTGATGCACTCTTATTTTTCAATATGCACACTAATTTCTAAAGGTATTTCTATATAACTGAGAAGAATAACCAAAAAGAAGGTTTTGAAAATCATTTACTCATTACACAACATCTTTCTTATAGCAGTCACTATTTAAAGTGCAAAATATATAGCAGTGAACAAAATAACAGAAATTCCTGGAGGGACCAGAGGAAATACTAATTGCAGTGAAGGAAAATGTGGAAAGGGAGATTTTATACCAAGATTGGCAGGGGCCTGGGGTTACAATTTTAAACTGGGAGGTAAGCTTTGCTTTGGGGTTGACACTGAGTCGAGACTGGGAACTGTTGAAGGTATGTGCTATGGTATGATCTGGGATAGCACAATCATGCATTGGAAATAGCAAGTGGAAATGCCCTGAATTGCACACATGTTTACTGAGATTGAGAAACCTCCAGTATGTATGAATAGACTGAGAAGGTCAGAGTTTGAATAGGGGGAGACTCATTCAGAGATTTAAAATGGTCTTAATAGTGTAGGATGTTGTGGCTTTTGCTCTGAGAGAGATGTAAGGCTACTGGAGGTTTAAGGAGTGCATAGACATGGTTTTACTTACATTTACTTTACAAAGCACAATAAGAGTAACAATATTAACAATACTGTGACTGTACTATATATTTTGTTTGTTATGTTCAAAGCTGCGGTGAAAATCTCCATGGTTTACTCCACTTAGAGTTTACAGCATATGGCAGTTGAATAAATTGCTTTATAAAGTCAGTGCTAATATTTTCCTGCTTGTGTCTCTTTTATATGTTGATATTATTTATATAGCATTATTTTAAACGTTTTCTACTGTTTAAAACTAATGGTTTTAAAAAACCCACTTATATAGAAAACCTAGACTAAATCAGCCCCCGCCCCCCCAACCCATCCCAAATAAAATAGAGAGAGAAAAGAGAAGCAATGAGAATTAAAACATTGGAAAAGTTTATTCTATAGAATAATTGTTGAAAATGCTATAAAATATACAATATTATGCTGTGGTAAGATGATTGATCATGAATGATCCAAGTTCATGATCTCAAACAAACAATATCCAAGGAAAAACTTGTAGAAACATAGGATAAAGAAGATTTTTCTCAAAAATAAAAGTTCCTGGAGTCTTATTATTTTCATAAAAAAAAGCTTTCAGGCTAAATTCTTGTCCCAGAATATAATAGAAATATGGAAAGTTAAGTGTTATCAAAATAATTAATTAATGAAGATTCCATCTTATCCAATATAAATTTTCATAGTTATTTGGGGGCTAAAAATAATACACCAAAAGAAGACACAAAATTTATAAATATTTAGAGATATAGGCCATGCTTACCTACATAGTGATTTGAGAAAATTAATAGAAACTTTGAGAATTAATTATAGCTCAATAATGTCATTGGTAAAATGTAAATACTAAAATCTTTCCTGTTTACCAGCAAGAAACAAAAAAGATATAATGCAAAGTGCACATGGCCATTTTTTTTTTAATTTATGTTTATTGTTGAAAGTCTTACAGATGTTCCCTTTTTTTTCCCCATTGACCCCTTCTTGCCTGCACCCAGCCCTGTCTCAGCATAGCCATGTGATATTTTTAAGTTGTACTCAGTATAAAATTTTTTTTAAAAAAAATCCTCACTCATAGATATGCTTAGAGAGAGGAAGGGAGAGAAAGGGAAACATCTATGTGAGAGAGAACATTGTTCTGTTACTTCTGTATGTGCCCCAACTGGAGATCAAACCCAGAACCCAGGTAGTTACCCTGATAGGGAACCAAACCAGCAACCTTTCAGTGCACAGGATGATGCTCAACCAACTGGACGATGCTCAACCAACTAAGCCACTATGGCTGGGCAGTATATTCATTTTTGATTTACTAAATCTTCAGTCCTTGATTATTTTGACTTGGAAAATCCAGACTTGCCAGGTTAAGACTTGTAGATAGATCTTCCTCAGCCACATAATATCTGTGTGCAATCAGTAGGTGGTCACAAAATTTGATTGGCTATAATCCAGTGTACACATCTGAAAGGACTTACTGGAAGAAGGAAAATTATGTGAGGAATGAATGGAACCAGTGTTATTTAAACAAGGTCCATAATTTGGAAATTGGTCAAGAGGGCAAAAGCAAGTATTTGTAACTGGACTGGGAATTTAAGCAGGTACATACAGAAAGAGTTTATAATACAGTATAAAAGTAAGACAGACCATGGCTTTGTTACTATGTTTGCACTATGTTTACATTCTTTTGATTCAGTTACACACTCAAGACCTCTAAGTAGAATCAAACAACTCAGTCTGGGTGTAAAAAGATAATTTCTCTCCTGAAATTATTATTTACTATAGACCTGATGCACAAAATCCATGCAAGAGTAGGCCTTCCTTCCCTTGACTGCTGGCACCAGCTTCCATCTGGCACCTGGGATTGGGGTTCCCTTGCAGCCCCAGCTTTGTCCAGAAGATCATCTGGAAGGATGTCCGGAAGGATGTCTGATATAATTAGCATATTACGCTTTTATTATTATAGATAGTATGCAAAAATACTTACTTTATTCATCTTTTATTTTCAGCTAAAAATAAAACCACTACTATCTTCTTGTATAGGACATCTTTCTTAGTCGGAAAGGTAACATGCTTTGCAATTGACCATTATGCATGGAGCCAACAGTACCAGCCTGACACCAAGATACTTCATCCTCAATGGGATTCCTGGGCTGGAAGCCTCACACATCTGGATCTCCCTGCCATTCTGCTTCATGTACATCATTGCTCTCGTGGGGAACTGTGGTCTCATCTACCTCATCATCCATGAGGAGGCCCTACACCGACCCATGTATTACTTCCTAGCCTTGCTGTCACTTACAGATGTTAGTGGGTGTACTTCATTTGTCCCCAATATGTTAGGTATCTTTTGGTTTAGTCTCAAAGAGATTGACTTTGATGCCTGCCTTGTGCAGATATTTTTCATCCACATGCTGACAGGCATGGAGTCTGGGGTTCTCATGCTTATGGCCCTGGATTGCTATGTGGCCATTTGCTACCCTCTACGCTATTCCACCATCCTCACCAACACCACAATTACCAAGGTTGGGCTTGCCACCTTCTCTTGAAGTGTGTTAGTCATGATCCCATTTACATTCTTGATCAAGCGTCTTCCTTTCTGCAGGGGCAACCTCATCCACCACACCTACTGTGACCATATGTCTGTGGCCAAATTATCCCATGGTAACATCAAGATTAATGCTATTTATGGTCTCATAGCTGCCATATTGATTGGGGGGTTTGATATGTTCTGGATCTCCATGTCTTACACTATGATTATTCATGCTGTAATCAATCTGTCATCTGCAGATGCTCGACACAAAGCCTTCAGCACATGTACATCACACATATGTGCTATTGTCATCACCTATGTCCCAGCCTTCTTCAACTTCTTCACTCACCGCTTCGGAGGACACACCATACCACACCATGTCCACATTTTCATAGCCAATCTCTACCTGTTGTTGCCTCCCACCTTGAATCCAATTGTCTATGGAGTGAAGACCAAGCAGATCCGTGAAGGAGTTATCAAATTGTTCTTTAGAGAGAAAGATATATTGAGTATGAGATAAACATATGAGGGCAGAATTCTGAATTTAGCATAAAGATAAAGAAAAAAGTTATAGTAGAAGAAGAGCATATGCAAAATTAGACCATCACAAGATCAGGATAAAATACATTAATATTCTGTTATAAAATCATGCAATTTTTAACCTACGACCTCTAATTAGATAGAAAAAACATTAAATAGACAGGAAATAATTATATTTTTTGCACAGTTTGACTTTAGTTAAAACCTGCAAAATGGACACAGAGTGGAATAGTTAGGATATTCAGCTTCAAGCAAACTCCTAATGATTCATGCACTGTGGTCTAGGCAGTGTGGGGGATAAAGAAGGTCAGATAGCTTAGGGAGTCACCAGGAGATTGGGAAAGGCACATAAGCAAACTGTTCCTATGTGTTATAGGAAAGCAAGAAACACTTCCCCAGAATGTCTGTGCTGGATTCCAGAGGTCCTTTTAATTTCATATTTATGTGAAATTTGTATAACTTTAGAAACAACTCCTTGTCTGCTCATTTTATCTCTGGCAACTGTTACCTAGGTAATTATTTGTATTCCTATGAATATACTACTGAACATACAAATTAATCTGGAGGAAATAAGAACACTGGAGTTTATCATAATCTGGTAGGCATTCCCTGAAGTGAATATGAAGCAGAAAGACATTTCGAAAGACATTGTGGATACTATTTGGCAGCTGTTTGTGGGAAGGATCTATAAATAGTAGAAAGGAGACTTGAAGAAAATCTAATGTAATTCATCAACCAAGGATGCCTGAGTTTCAGTGCTTTACTTAACTTTAATACAGAAGGAGAAACAGTTGAGTGCTCAGGAACAATGGGAAAAAGAATACTTTATTTACATTTCTGGATATAACAAAGAAAACAATGGAATGATAAATGTGGTATGCAAAAATAATAAGATAGAATGAAAAGTGAGAAAAAATAAGAGCATATCTGACAGGAAATTGGAGTAACACAGTGTGATCAGGTGTGGATACAAATGCATATGTAGGTAGAAATATTAAGTTATATTGATTGAGTATATTCTTATCTGCTATTATGAAAATATATTTTAATATCATATTACATAGTTAAATGATTATAAAATTTATTAATCATACCATGTATTTTTATAATTTTCATATATTTTAAAGCAAAACCTGTGTTTAAAAAAATATTTAGCCCAACTGGCATGGCTCAGTGGTTGAGCATCGACCTATGAACCAAAAGGTCAGTGTTTAATTCCCAGTCAGGACACATGCTTGGGTTGCGGGCTCAATCCCCACAGATGGCCATGCAGGAGGTAGTCAATCAATGATTGTCTCTCATCATTGATGTTTCTATCTTTCTTTTTCTCTCACCCTTCCTCTCTGAAATCAATAAAAATATACATATTTTAAAAATATTTAGATGAGTGGATAAAAAGCTGTGGTACATAGATACTTTTCAAAAGAAGACATAGGAAGGCCAAGAGACATATGAAAACATGCTCAAAGTCACTAATCATCCAAGAGATGCAAATCAAAATGACAATGAGGCACCATCTCACAACTGTCAGAATGGCTATCATCAACAAATCAACAAATAACAAGTGCTGGCGAAGATGTGGAGAAAAAGGAAAACTCATGCACTGCTGGTGGGAATGCAGACTGGTGCAGCCACTGTGGAGAACAGTATGGAGCAGTGATGGCGAACCTATGACACGCGTGTCAGAGGTGACATGCAAACTCATTTTGTGGTTGATTTTTCTTTGTTAAATGGTATTTAAATATATAAAATAAATATCAAAAATGTACATCTTTGTTTTACTATGGTTGCAAATATCAAAAAATTTCTATATGTGACTCGGCATCATAGGTAAGTTAGGGTTTTTCAAAATGCTGACACGCCGAGCTCAAAAGGTTCGCCATCACTGGCTATGGAGTTTCCTCAAAAACCAAAAAATGGAACTTCCATTTGACCCAGTGATCCCACTTCTAGGAATATATCCCAAGAAATCAGAAACACCAATCAGAAAGGATATATGCATCCCTATGTTCATAGCAGAACAATTTATAATAGCTAAGATTTGGAATCAGCCTAAGTGCCCATCAGCATATGAATGGGTTAAAAAACTTTGGCACATCTATGCAATGGAATACTATGCTGCAGTAAAAAGGAAGGAACTCCTACCTTTTTCAACAGCATGGATGGAGCTGGAGAGGATTATGCTAAGTGAAATAAGTTAGTCAGAGAAAGATAAATATCACATGATCACACTCATTTGTGGACTATAATGAACAACATAAACCGATGAACAAAAACAGATCTAGAGACAGAGAAGCATCGATCAAATGCTCAAACCTCAGAGGGAAGGTAAGAGAGGGTGGGGGTAAGAGGGAGAGATCAACCAAAGGACTTGTATGCATGCATATAAGCATAAGCGATGGACACAGGCAACAGGGGGTGAGGGTGAGGGCAAGACTTGGGTGATGAGGGGACAATGGGAGGATAAAGACTCATTTGTAATATCTTAATCAATAAAAAAGTTTTAAAAAGCTGTGGTACATTTACACAATGGAATACTACTCAGCCATAAAAAAAAAGGAAATCTTGCCTTTTATGACAGTAGGGATGAACCTGGAGAGTATTATGCTAAGTGAAATAAGTCAGTCACAGAAATACAAATACCATATGATTTCATTTACATGTAAAATCTAATGAACAAAATAAACAAATAAATAAAATAGAATCAGACTCATAGATACAGAAAACAGACTGATAGCTGTCAGAGGGGAGGGGTGTCGAGGGGATGGCTGAAAAAGGTAAAGGGATTAAGAAAAAAAATCCTCATAGACACAGATAGCACTATGGTGATCACAAGAAGGAAAGGAGATTGAGGGGAGGTAGAAGGAGGGTGAGGTGGTAAATAGTTATAAAAGAAGCCTTGACTTATGGTTCTCAACACACAATACAATATGCAGATGATGTATTATAGAACTGTACACCTGGAGCCTATATAATTTTATTATTCAACTAGAGGCCCAGTGCACAAAAATTTGTGCACTCAGGGCGGGGGGGGGGGGGTCCCTCAGCCCGGCCTGTGCCCTCTTGCAGTCTGAGACCCCTTGGAGGATGACCACCTGCTGGCTTAGGCCTGCTCCCCAGGGGATTGGGCCTAAGCTGGTAATCAGACATCCCTCTGGCAGTCCGGCAGCCCTCGGGGGATGTCCACTTGCCAGCGGGTAGCAGACCTAAGCTGCAGTAGGACATCCTGAGCGCTGCTGAGGAGGCAGGAGAGGCTCCCACCACCACCGCTGCACTGGCAGCCATCAGCCTGGCTTGTGGCTGAGCAGAGCTCCTCCCATGTGAGAGTGCCCTGACCATCAGAGGGCAGCTCCTGCATTGAGTGTCTGTCCCCTGGTGGTCAGTGTGTGTCATAGTGACCAGTCATTCCCAGTCTTTCTGCTGTTAGGTATGTGCATATTACCCTTTTACTATATAGGATAGAGGCCTGGTGCACGGGTGGGGGCCGGCTGGTTTGCCCTGAAGGGTGTCCCGGATCAGGGTGGGGGTCCTTCTTGGGTGCCTGGCCAGCCTGGGTGAAGGGCTGATGGCTGTTTTCAGGCTGCCCGCACCCCCTTTAGGGTGGGGGTCCCCACTGGGGTGCCTGGCCAGTCTGGATGAGGGGCTGATGGCTGTTTTCAGGCTGGCCAAGCTGGCAACTGAAGCTCCCAGCCACTCCTTTTTTTCATTTTTTTTTTATTCTGGGATATATTTACCTTCTGTAATTGAAACTTTGTTGCCGCTCCAGCTCTGAGGCCACAGCCTGCTGAAAGCAGATATCTGGGGTTTGTTTAGCTTCTATAATTGCAACTTGTTGCTTAGAGTGGAGCTCAGAGCCCGGCTGCAGCAGGGAGGAAGCTTGGCTTTCTCCATCACTGGAGCAAGCAAGCCTCCTGCTCGCTTCAGCTGAAGGGCTGCCGGCCGCCATCTTTGTTGGGTTAATTTGCATATCCTGCTGATTAGCCAATGGGAAGTGTAGCGGAGGTATGGTTAATTACCATGTTTGTCTATTATTATATTAGATGTCACCCTAACAAATTGATTAACAATTAAAAAGTAAAGTAAAATTACTTAGATTATGAAATGCCCCCCTACAGGATAGATTATAAATGTATAATCAGTACATTTGCTATCTCTTGGAATTGTGTTTTGGATTTGGTAGATTTTGTTCATCAGGTATTCTCACTTAAACCACACGAAGGCAGTAGCAAACAAATTAAGAAATTATTTTTCCTAAACTGCTTCATATATGATGTCATTAAACTTTTATTCCAAACTATGGGGTTACTGTAATGATCTTTATTTCATAGATGAAGAATATGAACTACAAAAATAGGAAGATTGCATTGGTATCAGAACATTAAGATTATAATTTAAATATCATATGTTAATAGGCTTATGCTGTGTGGAAGGGATGTTGGGGGCAACAATAACAGCATAAGCAACAAGGTACAACTGGAAGATAAACTTAAAAATATGGAGAAATAAAATGTAAAAAATAAAATTTATTTGAGTAACAATCTCCAATTAATTTTGTCATCTTCTTCATTGCAAAATGAAAAATGGATTTGATTGGTGGCTGGGGGGAACACACAACTTTAAAAATGAAGACTCACAACTGAATTAGAGCAAGCAAGCCAGAATCATTGAGAAATTTAAAAATAATTATAAGGTAGATGATGAGGAAAGAAAATTCTATTCACTATTCACAGGAAGAGAGAGAATGAAGGGGAGAGAAAAGGAAAGAATGGGAGAGGTAAGGACTGGGAAAATGGTGTAAGACACTTCATTTCAAATTTCCTCTCCTGCCCTAGAAATCAAGGCAGAGCTCAGTGGGCCTGGCGGAAATGCCCAAACCTCCCACACCCACCTCTCACCATTTGATTAGCTCTAGAACCAATCAAGGTACCAAGTACAAAGAACTCATGCCAATAGTTCAATTTAGTTAAAGCATATTTTCTT